AAGATCTTGAGTACGTTTATAGCTGAGACTTTTAAAACACAAGTGTCAACTGGTTAATACTTAATTGGCTCCCACGTTTTTATTAATTAGAGTTTTCAAGCTGGCTATGTTAAATAGATATAGTCTATTGCATAGTTGTTAAGTGATGTTTTCTAAAAAATTTAATGCTCTATTTTTAATTAAATCTGGGAGCAGGTCCTTGGGTTGTTAAGAATAGTAGGGTCTAGAGTTAGGGCATGTCTTAGCATAGGCTATATTAGGGAGAATAGTTGCGCAGGTGGATTTCTTCTTCAGCTTAACCCTGAGTTTAATTAACAGTTTAGTTTTAGGATTAAGACATAATCAATTGATCAATCAGATTTGTTCAGTTTATTTTCTATTAAAAACTATAAGTATTTTCAAAATGGTTTAAGTTAATTATTATTGTCTATGTTATTATAAAGTTTATTGTGTGATTGTTTTTGTGTGTTTGTTTCTCGCTGAGTGTCTTCTGAGTTCGAGTTGCTGCTGTGGTTTCATTTCGTATCTCTTATCTGTTATCCTTATCTTTATTTTATTTGCATTTTTATATTTTTAGAATTATCATTCAAACCCCCCATATCTCTTAGTTTTAGTTTTAGATTTTTGTTAGTTTTTATTCAATAAAAGTGACAAAGTAAATTGATTTTCATAGCCTAAAAAGTATCTTTCCTCGTGGGATCGACCCTTACTTGCCCTATCTATATGTTTTGATGAATATTGAATCATAAAGTGAGTTAAAAGTTAAGGAAATAATAAATTAACTTGTAGGTGCTACGACACGCCTAACAACTAGTCATTTGATGAAATGGCCTGCATGGATAATCAGTTGGGTAAAGCGTGTGCACGGGGTTCGTAGATCTATTCATGGATGTGAGTTGGTGGTCCCACTCAGCCGACATTGGATGACGTTGTATCGGGCGAGTTCTTTCATGGATGTGGTTGAATAAGGACTCCAGAAAGAATAAAGAATTGGCCTTAGCCTAGGATATGTTATGAGCTTAAAACTAAGAAAGATTATTTATGAGCTTTGCATATGGATTTTGCGTCATAAATGCCTAAGTTGCGAATGACATAAACTTGGTAATCTAAGTAAGTAGGTTTGATTTATGGGTTGTTTGATATTACTGATATTATTGATGTTGTTCTTGTGTGCACGATATTGTATGAAATTATGAGCAAGTGAGTTCATCTATATGCATAATCAAAACGATAGATATTTCACACTTAGCTTCAACGTTGTACGTGTATCCATTTTTCCTCTTTACTACATATAGGTAACAGGAATAATGATGAATAAGGAACTAATCCTGGAGGACAGCGAGGATGAGGGGATGGATGGATGCTGCCTAAGGATTTTGTTTAATTAATATTTAAGTTTGAATTTATTATG